ACAAGCTTATACCCACACCTCTTCCCATTAGGGCTGGAAGAGCCTCAGCCACTGCTCCCTTGGAGACAACTTCCCTGCATAACATGACTGTAGCATAATTACGAGGCATTAATTGCTTCCCCAGGTGGGGAAGGATTAACCCCATTGTGTGCAGAATCAAGCTTCGCCCTACCGTAAGGAGTGGGGGAGACTCGAATAAGGCATAAAACTTGATTGCAGGGCGAGATAGTTTTGCAGTTTATCAGTAGTTATATCGAGCTTCCCTCCATGATCGTAATTAACTACAAACCACTCAAGTGGAGGAAAGCCCTGTTGCAGACAAATTCAAAGCAATATACCCACGTAGCAGGAGAGCAAAACAACAACATATACTACCCGGATGCCTAACACCACCGCACCTCCTACCCTGCTACGTGGTGAGAATCCATATTTATAAAGAATTGGAAAAAGACCAACTCGCAATACTGATGTTACAGAACACAAGTCAATCGCATAGGCATCAGTGTCGATCTTCCCAACACCTCCTTCCCTGCCACGTGACCAAAGTGTAGAAACACAAAAAATTGAAATCACATGTTCCACATGGCATATCGCTGAACACCCACATGGGCCAACCCTACCCGCCCTGTTGCCACGTGGCCATCGTTGGATGGAAAAACAGACCAATCACAAGCCACCCTATCCACCTTAGCGATCTGGCAGTCGCTATCCCACCCCTTTGCTCCACCATCCCACTTCTCGCCCCCCCCGCCCACCCTTCTAGTTTGTCGAACAATCCATTCGACCTACCCAGTCGCCCTTTCTCCCAGTCAACCATGAAAAAGCGTAAGAAGACAAGCAAGAGGGGAGGGAGAGGGGAGGGGGGGGAGAGGATGCCCAATCGCCCGTACCACAATGTCAATATTATTGTTTGTTTTTTTTTTTTTTTTTTTTTTTTTTTTTTTGCAACCGGCAGTCTTGTGAGTAGTCACGTCCGCAAACCTTGTTGCTGTTATTTGAGACGAAGCATTCATTACTAATGTCGGTGATGGTAGAGACGCCACTGATACTGCTGCCGATGTAAGTGGTGAAGTTGACGCCGTCGTGTTGATGACTGAGGAAATCAACGTTGGTGATGTTGTTGATGTAATCCACACCGTTGTAGATGGCGTCATCGCAAACACTGTTATGGTTGATGTCGTTGATGTGATTGTCGTTGTCGCTGAAATCATAGTCGCACGCGCCGTCACTGTTGTTGAACGGTTATCCCTATTATAGGTGTTTCAATAGACAACCTCTCCTTAGGTGAGGTATAAGGTTTAGATAAGAATATGGTGTGTAGGGTACCTAGTGGGAATAGAGGGGAGATGGGTAGTGTTAATTGTTAGTTGAGTGACCATATTCGGAGACTATAAGCTAAACTGAGTCCTTATGCTGTCAGGATAACCCCGGGTTGAATTGTGGGGTCCCCGGCCCCGAGTTGAAATTGTTTAAACCACCAGTACCTCACTCAGCTATCGGTCGCGGGCCTTCTCGTATACGCGCCGCAGCCTTAGGGAGGTCGGCCAAGGGAAGGCCCAGTCGCTCCTTCTTGGCCGGAGCCCGACAACTGCGGGGTGTTACTCACGAAAAAAAATAAATTATAAACACAATAAAAAAAAACGAAATAAAAGAAGATAGGCGCGCCGTAGGAGAGAGAGAGAGAGAGAGAGAGAGAGAGAGAGAGAGAGAGAGAGAGAGAGAGAGAGAGGGGAGGGGCGCCAGC